GCATGAAAGCTGACATCTGCTGTGAGTTTCCTGTTTAGCTACAGTAGTTACCAAAAGAATAATAACTTAGCAGCACCTCCAGTACAAATATCTCACTTAGGTCTTAGGGATGGATTCACACCTTGGCTTTATTCTTGTTGAGCTCAACATCTGGGGTCCTCTGATTTTCCTCTCTAAGCTTAAGTGCTCTCTCTACCTTTTTGGTCTCTGCTCTTGCCATCTGTCCTCCTGCCTCTAGAATGTTTCGCTTTTGTGAAGGCACATAGTCCGTTTTACCACTTTCCTGAGGAGCTACCTCATGAATTAGAGGATTTAGACCACCCTTCTGGTGTGGCCCATGACAGCAACAGGGTAGTGCTCAAGTCCAAGCATGGCCATCTGGGCTGACCAATAATCTTGCTCCCAACCCTGAATAGTCCCCAGTCTTGAGATTTCCACACCTTTGCACACAGTTCTATCTGGATCTCTTTGCTCTCCACTCCAGTTGCACATCTCTGCGGTGACTCTCTGGTTACCACCAGCACTCGAGCTTAAATATCATCTCTTCTTTGTGCTTGTCCTCCTGCAAGCAGAATACCTGGTTCTCATCACTGTGCCCTCCTAGGACTCAGGTGCCCTGGCCTGTGTCACTCAGCACTCTTGTGTAGAGGTGGCTTGTCCTTTTTCTGGTACATGTTGACACATAGAGTTTTCATTTCTTCCTATCCCTCCAAAGTGAGAATTTCTCAAGGAAAAGACATATGTGCATCGTGGTTCTCCTGGTGCCAGGCACATAGAGGTCAATTGGTAAATGTTTGCTCAATAAATATCTGTTAACTTATTTTTAGTTGTAAATAGAGTGTGATTGTTGTGTGTGGTTGTGGTGGTGGTGGTGGTGGTGGTGGTAGTCATTGTTGGGCTAAGTTTTTGCTTTATTTTTTATTTAATGCATTACTTCATTTACCAGGAGGAATCCAGAGCCTAGTAGAAATTCCTGTTAAAGTTATTGTATCTTTGGCGCTCTGGCTGTTTTATAAAGACTATCACGAGGTGGTTATGGAGACGAGAGATAATCTTTTAAATCACACTGCTTTCAATCCATTCACAGTTTGGGTCTATAATTTTTAATGATGAGAAAAAAATATATCCAGCAAGTAAATATTTAAATATTTTGGTACCTGACTTGAATGCAGAGGGTAAAATGGAAATTTCACACATTAAGAAGTGACTCAAACAGCTCATCCTCACATTTTACTAGTGGAAATTAATCTTGTGTTTTCCTAAGATAATAATAAACCCTTCTCATATTGTGGGGTCTTACTAACAGCTATAGGAAGTGGAGGCAATTTGTTAACCATCAGCTTCCATGAAGTTGGGGTGATCCCATGCCCAATGGGATCAAACACTGCCTGGTCCTCCACTCTCCCCACTATTGGTTACTGAGTGGACCACGGTTATCCATATGATTATCATTGGCTGGTTTTCAGAAGTGGATGACCAAGTATGTCTTCGTAGTCTACCTGAGTCCAGGCGCTCCTCTGTAACCCTTCCGGCCCTTTAGTATAGTGGCACAACAGCCTTCAGTGACAGGCAGAAGGTGACTGCACTGGAGATACACTGATTTGGAATTTAACCCAGGTCTTTGGCCTGAATAGCAAGAATTCTATGACTGATGCTCACAAGTGTAGTTTGTTGATGTTGTTAAGTAGGGAGAGAATTCTTTCTTGGAATGTGAGTGGTTGCTTTTCCCACGTGGTTCCTTACTCCTCTTTTCTCCTGTGTGCTACTTCAGGTCATTTGGATTGTGAAGAGCAGGTCTCACTCCAGCTAGTGAGGCCTCTACAGGAACTTATTGTGAATATTCATGCAAAAGAAAGGAAGGCAGACCAGTCATGGTCATCCAGGTTCATGAGTTCTCCAGGGGCCTGAACATGGGAACTGGGAAGTGGTCATGTTTGGCTCTCCTGTTCTCTTCTTGGTGCTGCAGGCTCTCTCTCTTCGAGGTGTGCATTCTCTTCTCTGAAAGCTCACACCTTTTGCCTACTTTTGGTTTCTTTGCAGATACTTCAGTATGACTCCAGGTCAGTCCTTTCTTAAGTCTACGCAGTTCGTGCCTCTGTGGACTGACTCCAGTATATCTAAGGACTCCCTCAGTCAGACTCCTGAGAAAAGTGTCCTGCTTGGATGCCTCTTGTTTTGGTACCAGACCACTGGGTCTAGAATGCTGGACTCATTGGCTGCATGCTTATTTGGTGTCTACTCCTTGTCTGAATAACTGTGGTTCTGGGAATGAGGGAGGCTAACTAAAGAAGAGTTTGCAAACTCAAATGCATAAGAGTCCAGGCAGGTTGTAAAAATGGACAAATACGGTCGGGTGTGCAGTGCATATTAAGCATACAGCAAAGTTCAGTGGTGTGCAAAAAGCATAGAGTCTTGTGTAATAAGATAGCTTAGGTTTGAGCTACAGTCCCAGCATTTGCTAACCTGATAATGAATAAATTTTAGCCATTTGAAGAAATGTTTCCTTATAATCATTATCATCATCATTTAGTATACCATGAAATGGGCTTTCCACTCCTTTTCCTAAAGCATAGAGTTTTCATGTATGTAGTTTTCTCTAGTTGTAACACAAGGGGCACAGAATGATACATCTCAATGAAGAGGTTAACAGCTGAGCAAGAAAAATGAACGACAACTGACACATGTCCTTATTGAGACACCTAGGACATGGTAGGGAGCTCGGTGAATTGAATTCCAGTGGGTATGTGTACAGGGAGGAATCTCATCTGACTAGATTGCTGTGCTATCAGGAACAGGCTTAGGTCTGCAGATGGAGCAATCCATTGATCTGTGGAAACTCACATAGTATCTGAAACATTGTACTACTCAGTAAAAGTATCAGCATACTAGTTACAGCTTTGAGCTCCTGGCTTTTCACCTGCTCCTTCAGCTGTCCCACCGAAATAGTGTGGATTTCTTTGTATAGTTAAATGAGAAAATTGTTTTCAACTGCCCCAGTGCTCCTGCTCCAAGACAGTAGTAAGACACATGGTCCAATATATCCTGATCTTCATGGTTGCTGAAACTGAGCAGGACCTAAAGCGCCTTCAGCAGAAGGTCAGGGGCTGCAGCCTTCTATATGGATTGAAGCTCAACATGAAGAAAACAAAGATTCTCACCACTGGGCCGATTGGTAGCAACAGTATGGATGGTGAAGAGATTGAGATAGTCAGCAGTTTTAGTTTACGTGGCTCCACAATCAACACTCTTGGGACCAGCAGCCAGGAAATGAAGAGACGAATTGGGAAAGTCAGCTATGAGGGACCTCTCAAGAGTACTGAAGAGTAAGGATGTCAGGTTGGAGACTGAGGTGCGCCTGATCCGGGCTATAGTCTTCACAATTACGTGCTATGCATCAGAGAATTAGACAGTGAATAGGGATGGATGAGCTGTGGTGCTGGAGAAGAGTGTTGAATTTACCATGGACTGCCAGGAGAACAAACAGGTTTGTCCTTGAGAAGGTGAAACAGGAATGCTCATTGGAGTCAAGGATTCTGAAACTTCGTCTAACATATTTTGGACATGTTGCAAGGAGGGACTGGTCCTTTGAGAGAGATACCATTTTTGGCAAGGTGGAGGGGCGGTGCAGGCGAGGAAGACCTGTGGTAAGATGGATCGATTCTGTGAGTGGAGTGGTAGGAATGAGTGCATTTGAGATGGCTAGGTTGGCACAGGATAGAAAGGCATTTAGAGCTCTTGTACATAGGGTCACTGTGAGTCACAAGCGACTTGATGGCACATAACAACAACAATGATTAGTGTGGTTAGAGTGTCTAGGAAAGTTATTTTTCTTTTCTTTACTTTTGTTTTCTTTTCTATTCCTTAAAGGAAGAGAGGAAAATGGTTGCATTTTCAATCTAGTCATGTAGGTCTCCTACCATTTTAGCGGCCTTTCGCTAAAGAGGTTCTTTGCTGTAAAAATTCGCCCCTTCCCATTGTGTTCTGAATCTTACCTGCTTCTCATTTAACCTGCTCTCTGAAATAGAGCCTTCACTTTTCACCTTAAGCCCTCAACTTTTCCTGTACTTGCTCAGCAAGTCCAGATGTTCAGGCTAAAGACTTAGCAGGGGTAGTCAGACTTGGTTTTGCTCTCATCGTCTCACCTCCTCAGACAGACAGACAGACAGAAGCCTCCTCAGACAGACAGACAGATACACACACCCAGTATACCAGTATATATGTCTTGTCTGTATTCCACACAACAGCTGCTGTTTTCTTTTAAGAATATGAGTCAGCACATCACTCTCTGACTTAAAACTACCCTCTAATTACTTCTCATCTAACTGAGAATAAATCAAGCCCAGGCTCCTGGCCTACGACGTGTCTACAGCATCTGTGTCCCCTCCCCTCTTATGGTGCCCTCCCCCAGCCTGCCATTTCTAGGACTCACTGATAGTCCCCATCTTTAAACACAACAGGCTTCACTTTGCCTGCTGCTTCCCCTCTCAGAATGTGTGTTCCCCAGTTATCACCTCCTCGGGAAGGCCTCTCTCCTACTCAACACCTGAGACTCATCAGAGGAAAATTAAGTTTGTCTTGTGTTCATCGCCGTTTCATAGTTGCTAACTCAACGAATGACTGAACTGTGGACATGTGTTTTGGATAAAAAAAATTGTTAGGGGAAAAAATTAATATAGTCTGTAAAGTCCAGGATTTAGAAAGCAGGAGGGAGAGCAACAAACTTCTCTTAGAATAGTGAGGCCTCCTCTGTTGCTAACCCTGTAGGTTTACTCCAAGTGCAAATGAACCAGGATGTGAGCGGGAATTTTCCTGGGCCTGATGTGGCTGTTAGAAGTTAGTACTTAAACATTCCATTTCAAGTATTCTCATTAAAGGTAATAGCAGAAAATTGCTGCCAAGATTGCCCTGGTTTCTAGGTGGTGATCCCCGCTGTATAGCTGTTGATTTGTTCCGTTAATTCTAATTTATTTAATATGCTTCTGCTTTTTGTTGTGTTTTAGGTCTCTTGCCGCAGTTACTGGGAGTTGCCCCTGAGAAGGCCATAAAACTTACCGTAAGTCCTTGGAGTTGATCCTTCTTATTCAGAGAGTTTGTACATAACCAGGAATCTAGCAGGCATTCTTGTGTGAACCAGCAAGTTGTGCTTCCTTATGGGTATTAATTGAAACGTGGGAGAACTCACCACATACAGCTCTTTATTTATCCCTCACTTAACAGTGAACATCCATAGATCTGCTAATAAACATGAATGAGACTTTGGTGACTGTCATCAGCATTATCATTATGGTCACCATCAAAGTAATAGTAGGAATAGCAGCAACAATAGTAAAGATCTACTTGGACCTTTGACTTTTAATCTCAAGCAAAGTTTGAGCCACTGTTTACAGATCAGGAGAAACTCAGGCTCGGCAGTTTGGACATAGCTGCTATGTTCACACAGGATGAAGAGGAGGCTAGAATTCAAAACTGGTTTTTAACTTCAGAGCATGTGATCTTCTAATCACGTGTGGCATTTACCGATGAAATTTGCATTGAAAGTAAATTTGGTATCCCATTTTCCAAAGCAGTAGTGAGGGGCTTAGCTTCTAGTTGAAATCAGTCCTTTATGGACTGGTTCATGTACGGATTCTTTTTTATTATTTTCTGAGTATCTGACTTTTATCTGACAGATAAATCCTCAATAAATGTTTATGGAATGGATAAATGCTACATTTAAATAAGACCATAAAGTCCCAGTATTTTAAACCCCAGTTGTACCATATTGTCTTTGCATCTTTGATTTTTCTTCTTTCACCTTATTAATGGGGCTGAGGGACAGTTAATCTTACCTGACCTATAATTGCGAAGAACACAGATTTGTTCTTTAAAATCACTGTAACACGTATCAATTTGAAAATATTAGACTTCCTTAATTAATGCTATTGAGTTCTTTGAGAATCCTTGAGAAATTTCTTTTTAGATACTGAATTTCTACTTAAGCAGAAAAAAAATCTGATTTCTCCAAATTGGTCACAATGATGAAAGTAGTTTTAGATCGTTTAGTTAGATGACTTGTAAATGATTTTTTAATCAGACCTTATAAAATACTTTTTAACATTAAACTTCTCTGTATAGTATTATTGACAGTTTGTTTCTGTTTTTACACTTTTTACTGTGAGACATACTGAATCTTAAAATTGTTGTAAAAAAAGATTTTACTATTGACAGTTTGTTTCTGTTTTTACACTTTTTACTGTGAGACATACTGAATCTTAAAATTGTTGTAAAAAAAGATTTTACAACAATTTTAAGATTCAGTATGTCTCACAGTAATAAGTGTAAAAACAGAAACAAAATTTTACCATTTTTCTTCACAAAATACGCATATGTGTATATATTTTACCTTTTAAAAATGGAATTTATTTACATTCATATTTTAAGATGTATTAATTTATGTATAATCATTCCAACAGATCAAAAAGATAAATATATTTAGAGAGATATATGTATTGTGATTTACAGAGGTATCTGTATAGTGTATAATGACTTTCTTTATATTTTTCATCAGCATCTGTAAATATTTTTCTTCAAGGTGAATGATTTTGTGAGGGATAAATTTATGAACAAAGATGGTTCGGTCCCACTGGCAGCAGAAATTCTTGCTGGAGGCTGTGTAAGTACCATTTGCAGATCTCACTGCTGAAAAACTTTTGTCACCTACGTCTCATCACCCTGGGAAACACGTGTGAACTAAGACTTCTCTTTAACCATAGATCCTGTTCAAGGCGCAGAATCTCCTAGGGCATCTCGGCTTTTCCTAGACAGGCGAGCCATTCCTGAGATGGAAGGGTAAATGTTTCCAAGCGTATTGCCTGTTAAGTCATGTCTGTTAAATTTGCCATTGCTTGCGGTTGGTTCTGCAGCAGAAGTCATTTGTGGCAGAAGTGTCTGGCCTTTGAAAATCTCTGCTAACCTTTCCTAAAATTAATTTTTCATGCATCTTTTTTTCCTCATGACCCCTTCCTGCTAAAGCAGGCAAAACTTTGTCATTTGCAGTCAGTAGTCATAAGAGCTCTGCTTTTGCTTTACTTTACACGTAGTAGCAAGTTTTTAAGCTTCCAAGTGCTTCTGGGAGAAGGATGTTGGGGAAAGCTGGCTTGGTGCACTCTGCATTGTCAAAATACTTGGAATGATTGCTTCTTTGTATGGATGTAAAACCTGCATCATGTTCTCAAGCTCAGCAAAACATGTTTTTTTTTTTCTCTCATGTGCCTGTTAGTTCATGTGAATGTAAAGTGCTTGGGTAAATTTAACTTTTATACAAAGGCTGCTGTTATTTAAAGATAAAGTTGGTTAAATAAACAGACTGATCATTAGGGAAAAACAGTATTGCTGTATTTTCATTGAAACCTGTGTTTTTTATAAGAACATGTCTTTAAAATAAGCTTGTTCTGTATAGAAAATAGTATTCACAGAAAAAATGTATTTTTCCTTGAAAATCAGTTTTAAAAGTTTGGCAAATACCTGATAGTACTTAATGTGTGCATGGAAAGGACTTATGTCTTATCCATGAAGCAAGAGCTAAGAAATTGCAGTTTCTGGTGATTCTTAAAGAAACAGATGGAATTTGGCCACTGGCTGACTCTGCTGTTTGATCATTGACCTGTCATAAACAGCCAGGTAGGATCCCCTTGTTCTGTAACCTTAGGAGCATTCTGATAGGGAGCCTTTAATGTTCTAAATGAAAAGGGTATATACAGTGATAAAGAGATATATTAGTAGTTGCATCAACTGCTTTTCCTGGTAATGAATATTCAATTAAAACTGCTCTGCATTTTTCCATTTAAATAACTCTATTTTCTAATTGTGAGGTATGTGTATTAATAGGCTATATCTAACCCAGTCCTTGGAGGTGGTGCAAGGAGATCAGATCAGGGTATCAGCATATATAAATTCATCAGGTTTCAGTTGATACAGTGTGGGGTTATTTTTATTTTGTGTTTAAGTCTGATTTTTAAAATGCTGTGAAGGCATGATTATGTACCTCTGTAAAAATTCAAAATGTAAAATTAATTATGTGATACTACTCAAGATTTTGGCAATAATCACAGCACGCTGCCGTGAAGTTTATTTTCTTTTTCATGAAAGCATTTTGCCGACGTGTGCACCTGCATGCCAAGGAGATTGGTTGTGGCACGTATTGTCTACCGTAGGTGGTCTTGTTTGCGCGTATGTGGTCGCCCATTTCAAACGCAAAGCACGAGTTGGCATCAGAAGTGGCGCCTAGTTACTGCAAAGAGGTGTAGTCCTTTTTTCAAACCTGACCTAAACACAGGCTTAAAATCGGAGCCACTCAGGCTTTACAGCTACTTAAAATATCTCTGAGATGAGATCTGCCATCCTTTATCTTTTGAGGCTGTAGACAGTTGGTCCTGGGTGTTTCAAGTCCCCTGTTTTGGAATCCTTTCCCCCTAACCATCACACTAAGAACTTATTTTCCAGGTAATCAGTCCTGTAAGTACAACCCAAGCTCCTCAGATCTCAGAGTCGAGGGGTGGGTAACTCCATTTTCAATGTGTTGTTTTAAGCAGCAGCATCTCTTTTGCACAGTTTTCCCCACAGCCATTGCTGGTCACACACCTTAGAAAGGCACTGTCAGCTTCGCAGCCTCACCTTTCCCATTGGGAATACAAAGGGTCTTGGAAAGTTGTATCACTTGAGCAGTTCCACTTCTTAGTTCACCCAAGCGTTGCCAGGCGTTGACTTGTAAGCCCCTGGGGAGCTCCTGACTTCATTAATACTGAGGATTAGTACACATGGCTGACTTTTGCACTTGTAACCAGAGTTTCTCATTCCTTTGAACAAGGCCTTTTCTGTTTTATAATCTGTTTTCTGCCAAAAACAGGGAAAATATGCAAGGGGATCTTTGTCTCATAGCTTCAGAGTTCTTAGGTAAACTTTTCAGGGTCTAGTCTTCTTTCTCTTTATATTTGGGGTTTTTTTTCCCCCCCTCAGAAAAATGTGTGTGTTAATTTAGAGGGGGAGAAAATGTTTGGTACTTAAATAAAATTAATTCCATTCGTTTTTTTTAGTGTTTTTGATATAACATGAACTATAACTGAAGAGTTTTAAAAACGGCAATTTCTGTAAAAGAGTAAGTCTGACTTTAAAATCATTGCATATGTTGTTTTCTCTTGGGATTAGTTTTGGTTTGTTGTTGACTTTTGAGTATTTTTAGATTCACACGTAATGATAGTTAGATCTTTACTCCAGGCAAAACTCACCTAGAGGATGAAGTGGGTTTATCAGTTCTCAGCTCAAAAGCTTCTGTGTGTCTGTGTGTGGTTTTTGTTTGTTTGCTTCCATGACTTGTTTTCTGCCTTCTAAACTGAGATACCAAATCTACTGCCATCAAGTTGATTTCAACTCACAGTGACCCTGTACTGCATTTCTAAGACTGTAAATCTTTACTGAAAGAGACAGCACATCTTTCTTGCATGGAGTGGGTGGTGAATTCAAACCACTCACCTTTTGATTTGTAACCTGACGCATTATTTACTTTGTCACCTAAAAAGATCAGCAAAAGAGACTAAGACCCTCAACAAGACAGACTGACACAGTGACTGGAACGGGGGCTTTTTACCTACTAGAGATAGTGAGGATAGTGGAAGGAAGGGTGGATTTTCTTCTGTTGTACATAGAGTCGCTATAAATTGGAACTGACTCTGGGGCTCCTGATGACCAGAAGTTAACTGATGATGGTAGGAATTCTGACAAAGCGCTAGCCTCTCATAATTTTCCTTACAGAATATATATACCTACCCACTCTCTTTTCTCTCTGTTTTTTTCCTGCCTTCACTTTACCACACTATCTGAAGCTCAGTTTTTATAGGGGAACATGATGGAAGACCACTGCTAGTGACAGTGGAGAGAGGCTCTTTGTAAATGTGCCAGAGGAGAGAGCCTGTTACTGTTAACCTATTTCCATTTAGGTGGCTCTTACCTTAAAAATCTGTTGTTTTCTTCTCTGTGTATGTTGTTTGCTTGTTATTTTTATTTGTTTGTTATGTGTATGTTGTTTGTTGCTGTTATTTAAGAAAACAGTGACATGCGATGTCAGACAGTCTGTAGATTACAGTCCTTAGCAATAAAGCAAGCGTTTTCTGGCAGTCTTCTTTAAATCTAGCCAGTTTCACTCAGTCCCGCTCACTTAAATCAAGCCAGACTGGCTCTTAAAAGACCCTCCAGTGGATTTCCTTCAGAGCCATGGAAGTCCTATAGAGTTATTGGAAGGCAGAACAGTTGCACAGCAATTGCTTTATGCTGTTCTTTATGAAGAATGTGGGAGAAAATCCGGGATGTTGTTGTGTGCCATCAAATTGAACCAACCCAAAGTTGGCCCTCCAGTGGGCTTTCAGAGACAGTTAAGCAGAAGGATGAACATTCTCCTCCTGTTTGATTAACTGCCTCTGAAACCCCACTGGATAGTCATCTGTGTATCATTGATGAAACACAACAGCATTCAGATTTTCTCCTGCATTCTCTCTTAGTTTTGGTTAATTTTTACTATTTTAAAAATTATTGAAAAACAAACTGATACATAGGCACGCACACAAGTGTCTGCCATTTAGGTTAAGATGCCAGACTTGACAAATGTAACTGGAAACCCTTTTACACTTTTCCCAATTGCTTTTTCCTCTTTTATCTCTCAAGAAATAACACCACAAACAAGTTTTCATTCCATTAACGTCTTCCAGCTTTTTGTTGTTGTTAGCTGCCATCAAGTTGAGTACGACTCATAGTGAACTTACGAACAATGTGTCTGAATCCTTTCCTATCCGGCGCTATCCTCATCATCATTGACGCATTTGAGCCCTCTACTGCTATCATATTAATCCAACCCACTGAGGGTCTTCCTCTCTTTCACAAATCACGTAGCTTTCTGAGCATGGTCTCCCTTTCCAGGGAATAGCTTCTCCTAGCAACATGCCCCAATTACAAAGCTTTGTCATCCTTAGCTCCAAGTAGTACTCTGGCTGCACTTTTCTCAAGACATATCTATTTGTTCATCTGACAGTCCGTGAGATACCTAGTACTCTTCTCCAACACCATAACTCAAAGGCAGAAATTATTCTTCTGTCATTCTTATTTATTGCCCAGTTCTCAGACATAACAAGTGATTGAAAATACTATGGTCTGAATCATGTGCACCTTCGGCATCTTCAAACTGGCATCATTGCTCTTTAGTAATTTGGAGAAGTTCCTGATAGCAGACTTCCCCAGTGCAGTTTGTCTCCTGATCTCCTGAATGTTGTTTCCAAGTGTATTGATAGTGGATCCAGGTAAAATGAAATGATTGACAATTTTAATTTTTTTCTCCATCTATCAGGATGTTCCTTACTAGTCCAGTAGTGTGAATTTTTGCCTTCCTCATTTTGAGATACAAGCCATATTGAAGGCCATAGTCTTTGATTTTCTGCAGCAAGTGTTGCAAGTTGTCCTTACTTTTAGCAAGCAGAATTGTGTCATATATGTAATGTATGTTGTTGATGAGTCTCCTCCCATCCTGATGTCACATTCTTCTTCATAGAAGCCGGCTTTTCTAATGGTTTGCTCAGTGCACAGACTGAATAGGTATGTAAAGGATACAACCCTGATACACACAATTTCCAA